GGAACAAAATAGAGAGCTACAATTTCCCTCATTTGAAAGAGCAATACTTGGGCCATCGATCTGTATAAAACTCATTAGAATGAACGATGTTTGTTCATAGAGAATTATCGATTAAGTTTTTTTCTAGGTGTAATTTTCCTCAATTTTCACAATAATCTGAACTCAAATGATGTCTAAATGTAGCTTAAGGACACTTTTTTCACTATAAAATATGTAAATGCTCCTGAGAATCCACTTCGTAAAAGAGATCCCGAGTTGATCGAAAATGCGATGATTTTGTAATGAAAAAAGTGTGATAGGCAATCTTGTTCGAAACGCATCTTTCGTCCTCATGAGTTTTATACAGATCGATGGTCCATATGCAGTGATCGTTTGGAAAAATGAAAAAGAAGTTCATTTTCGATCAGATAGATGGATTCATTCGTTAAAAGGAAATCAATTTAACTGAATCATAACACAACTTAACGATTAGTTGGGAAAGAAGATAGGATATGGAGCTGGCAAATCACGAATGGCGCCGACGAATGACTCGCCGTTTGTTTGTAAGATTGATATGAGCCTTTCTTTCGCGAAACTTTCTAGAGATTGAACAATAGTTTTCAGAAGAGCTCGACCAAGTAGATAGAATCTGGGATCGGTGAGTTATAACTGGCACCCTCGAGAGATGCTGATGAGCGACTCGCCATTCACTTACAAGGTAGACACGTCTTTTCTTGCGTAAAGCTTTCAATGAAATATAGAATATTTTTCGAAAGAGCTGAGGCAATTGTTGTGGTGAAGACGACTAATTCAAAATCACATCAATTTCTCATAAAAGCCAAAGAAATGTAATCTATGATGAGAATATCGCGCGATTACTACATATTCCAAACTCGACATTACCAGTGTTGCTTTTTCCAAATTGCAAAAGTTGAAAGACTTGTTCGTATGGTGTTGGCTATAGCATCATACAAACTGACGATTTATCTGATAATATTTGTCAAAGTGAAGAGAATGAATTCAGTCGAGGGTGAAGCGAGTCGTAGTGACGAGCGTTACTTGTAATATAATATGTTTCTAAAAATAGTAGTCAAGTTACAATAACAAAAAGAACTAAAGTGATAGAAGCTATCAGACAGTGAAAAATATTCATGAGAAAATCACTATTATTTTTTATTAATAGTATCAAAATCTCATTTTTTGGATGGATCTCCCACTTTTCACAGCAAAATACGATTAAAATTCACTAAAATTATATGAATCAATTGAAAAAATAATCTACTTCATCGATTATTTTTGATTATCTCGTTTGTAATCATATTTTCATCGACAATCGATTTTAATGTTTTTAATCGCTTAAAATCTTAAACAATAAAAATCGAATCCAGGATAGTAATTTGATTTTAATCATTAATCGATCCTCATCTATTCAATCGATTATCAACATGTTGGAGAATATCAATATGAACTATACAGAATCAAATGATATGGATTAATACGAAACATTTTAGACGAAATATAAATTGCTATCAAAACTACGGTAGATAAAAATGTCATGTAATATTTATTAAAACAGAAGTTCTAGAACAAACACGATATACATGATCATGAACAATATTAATGCCCTTTCCAAAACATGAATCATCAATTTGAAACAATTTATGTAGTAGTTCCAAATTTACTTCATTTGCTGGAGTTTAGCTTGGTGGCAACTTCATAGTTTCTAAACACGAACAATCCAGAAAAATCATGAAAACTTTGGGTATCGCGTTCAGATCTCGAGAAAAGCGCTCATCATCGGTGTGTATGCTTAAAATCGATTAAGAAGTGATAATAAATTAAGACTGATCAACAGGTAATAATAAAATGGAATAAATTAATAGGTAATAACAGATTAAGGAAGATTGATAGATACCAATCCAGTGAAAAATTCAAGCGATTAAAATTTCAAAATCCTATGGAAGCAATCGAAATCAATAATCCGATTTTTGTGCAATAAAATCAAAATTATAATCACTATCAATCGATTATTAGAAACTTCAAATCAATTGATATCGATTGTAATTTTGATTAGGCCCATAGGATTTTGAAATTTTAATTGCTTGGAATCCTTAAAATTTTTCGCTGGACAAGAGCAATAGATTATAATGTAGAACTAAGAGAGAATTATTTATATTCTATCAGAGTCATTCATAAGTGATCTCCAGTTAAAAAAATATAACTCGCTAACATCCTCTTATTATTGTCTGTAATCCAAGCAGACAAAAATTTCGAAAAACGCGTTTAAACGCACAATCCGGAACCCCGACTGTGATCCATCCACGCTCATTAAAAAAACGTACGAAACGACGTTTTTCATGCAAAATAGTTACTTTTGGAACGTGAAAACGTAGAAAAATTGAAGAACTGAGCGTTTAAACGCGTTATTTCTAAACTCCAGAGAAAAAAAAACGTTTTAACACAAAAAACTGAAATTTTTCACAGTTTTCACGTTCCAAAAGTGACTATTTTGCATGAAAAACGTCGTTTCGTACGTTGTTTTTAATGAGCGTGAATGGATCCCAGTTGTGGTTCCCGATTGTACGTTTAAACGCGTTTTTCGAAATTTTTGTCTGCTTGGGATATGAATAACAGGACAATCAAAGGTAAACGTAATATTCAATCAAAATCAGGTATAATGTATATTTATTGGTCATTTAATCCAATACGTAAAATGAAATACAGAAAAGAAAAATAATGGGCAGATACTAAGAAGACTATTATAAAACGTCATGATCACATAATTTATGAATAGTCATCAATATACCAGAGTTGAACACTTTTTATGAGGGGAAACACCAGCTAAAGGAATAGCCCTTCCAGGTGGAATCATGAAAAACCGGGATTGTAGCAGTAGTTAGCAACTATTTGGGATACCAGACACTCGAATTGAATCGACGAGGTGTCTATGTGATAGAAGTCATCGAGATCTTTCTAGAGAACTTTGTCTCCATGTTGAAGTGCTCTCCTGAGCAAATTCCGATGGGTTTTCGCGACTTTTTGTGTTTTTTGTAGGCTGTTTTTTGTGGAAGGGGTGATTTTTGCGAGCAATGAACATATGAGTCTGATAGAGCTCGTCAGGTTCTACTTGAAGTGCATTTCAGTACGAATTCATTCAGGAAAATATTGAATCCTGTTCTAAGATGTTCTAGGTACTGTAATAGTCTCCTCACTCAACTGGAAAGTACGTGAACACACAAACAAAGAGATAAACTGAAAAATAATGAAGCCACAAAGCAATAAGATTTCATAGGTGCTGATATCCTCGTTGATGATGAGAATGAAACTAGATAAAAAAAGTCAAAATTTCTTGATTGCATTTAGAACGTGTATATATATTATTTTATGGCATCTGTCTCAATAGATTGAACATATTACCATTAAAAAGATTTCTATTGTTTTATATTATGTACAGTAGACACAAATTAGCTTCGTCATCATCCATGACCAGTACGAGAAGGGTCGGAGTTAAAGGGTGTTTCATAAGTAACGGTCCCATTTTTATTTATTTTCTTATCTTTGTCATAGTCGAAGATGAATAGTCATCAATGATATAGCTTTCAAGAATAGCATCTAAGCTATCATCCAATAGGAATGGCTCACAATTTATATCAAATCTAAGAAAGCACTGTGTTAATGAAAATATTAAAAAAACTTTATCAAATTAATTTTTCATCTTTTTCCTATAGAGCATAAACTTCTCAGTATTTTGTGAATATCTCTCTCAACTTTTGATGCTTTGACTTGAATTTTTTTCCAAAAGATAGCAAGTCCAATATGAACAGCTGTTCAAACGAATAACTTAGGGTGGCTTGAAACCTGTTCCGTCATGAAAAGAGCAATTATTGGCTTTAAAAAAATCACCGTTAGCAGAAGTGGACTTTCTTTGAAATGTAGTGCTAGTGATCAGATATGGTTTTGCAATTATCCCTTTGGAGAGTTATTTTTATTGGATGTTGTAGAGAATTTGACAAGCTATCTTTTGGAAACAAAATTCAAGTTAAAGCATCAAAAGTTGAGAGAGATATTCATAAAATACTGAGAAGGTTATGCCCTATAGGAAAAAGATGAAAAATTAATTTGATAAATTTTTTAAAAATATTTCCACTAATGCAGCACTTTGTTACAATTGATGTAAATTGTGGGCCATTTCCATTGAACGATAGCTTAGACGCTACTCTTCAAAACTATACCATTGATGACTATTTATTTTGAAATATAACAAAGATAACAAAAAATAAAAATAAAAATGGGGCTATTACTTATGAAACACCCTTTATATAGGCCAATTTTTCATATTTTCAATAAAAAAAATTGAGGCTTAAAATTCTTTCCAGTTTTCATGATTAATATTCAGAGAACATTGGGAAATGGATTAAATAGTTTTTGAATTTCGATTTTATGCTCGTGAATGAGCAGACACGTAGTACTGGTTCTCAAATGAATCTAGATCTTGGCATCCGAGACTCACACCATCTTATGCCGATATCTATTGAGATGCCGAGTAAAAATTTTTGTCATTTATGAGAGATCAGATTGCAGACTATCTTCTCCTGTATTTATCTTAATTTTAGTCATTCTGCCGAGAGGTAACATTTTTGTGGGGGAGACCTTAAAAAAAAACTCCAAACTATTCTGTGTTTTTTTTAAGTATAATCAACTATTAAAAAAATATGAGTGTGCTTTTATTTTAAATTTGAAATCATGGTTTTTTTTTCTTACCCAACAAGTTTTTTTAATGATAACATGCGAAAGTCATTCGATACGTTCTTTATTATTGATATATATGAATCAGACGGTATATTTTTTTTTCACTGTGAGAATGTTCTCTTTCCTTTATTCATGTTACAACATGCTGTAGCAATCTGCTTATTATTCATCGTGTCTTTCTTTTTATCTAATATTGACTCACGTCTAAAACATCTATATAAGTAAGTAACAGAACTAAAGCATATACATACACATATTTACAATATTTCATAATGCTTCGAATCAAACAAGATTCACAAACGTCAGTTCTTACGCAAGAACAAATTTTTGTACCCTTAAAACGAGTAAATGTAGAAGCAACAATTCGTTCATTTGCTGCCGATGTAACTATAACACAAGTATTTCGTAATGATGAAAAACAACCAATCGAAGCTGTCTATTGTTTT